TTGAGCTTGATGTCCCCTGCAACTATGGTCCCAAGCCCGCAGGTTCAACTACTCAGTCCCTCCGGGTAGCTGGCTGTGACCAAGCCGTCACCACAACCTTGCCCCCTGTCCCAGCTCTGGGTTTTTATGTAACTGTATATTTCTTTGAAATCCTTAAACAGGACTTCAGTTATACCACAACTTCCAGGAAAATGTTTCTCTCTTTAGAAATGTTGAAGACATTTGAGGGCCAAGGATGGGATTGAGGCTGTTTGTAGCTATGTGATTGGCTCAGCTCTGAATATTTCCATAAAATTGTCCTAAATAGAAAGACAAGAAGGTAATGTCTGATTGTAAACTCCAATAAAAATCCATTTCAAATTTTCAGTTGGTCATTGGTTGTCCTCTTTAATCACTTTGTCCAGTTCATTTCCCAATCTCCATTTTTTCGTATTATATAGACAATGAGTCCAGTAAATCTATAAGTGAGGCATTTACTGAGCATCCTTGTATATGAAACAAAATCATGGCACTCTAAGTGGTTTAGAGGAGAAAATGCACCCTGTGCTGCAATGGAAGGCAGGAGGAAGCCAGAACTCAGCATGAAAAACACCAACTGGGCAAGAGTCAAAGAGGTTCCATTAGCACCATCACAGGGGAACACACACTCCATTAGCAACTAATGCCATTCAACATAAGGACTAAACATGCAGGTGAGAGTTTGAGTGAGTGGGATGGTTCTCAGATGAAGATGGGCTTGAGCTGGGTGTTGAAAGAGAACAGCAGGTAGGAGGAAGCTTGTCCAAACAGACGGGTAACATTAGCTCAGTCTTGGGAACAAAGAAGGAATGTGCCAGTATAGTCCAAAGCCAAGACAGAAGATTCTTGGTGAGGAACCGGGAAAAAGAATCTGTGGGAGACCTGAAGTAGGGGTTCTTAAATTCCAGATAACCAGCTCTCATAAAAAGTGACAAACTGTCATTTATTAAAACTACAGGGAAAAGCCCTGAGGTCATGATTTAGGAGAAGAGATGTCAACAAGTGGGCTACGAACATACCTCAGAAAATATTCTTCCTCCTGTTTTCCTTATTCACTCACATATGCACAGGAAATTTAAATCCAAGAAACCCTGGCCCACTCACCGGCAACCAGGCCACATCTCGACCAGCCAGGAAGAAGCCTCCAACAGTGCTCCGGTTGGTCCTCAGCATGGCCTGAGCAGAAGGGTAGACAGGTGAGAAAGTAAACCAAACACATGCACCAAGCCACCCAGATGCTCTGGCTGGGATGCTAAGAGAGGCGACAACTTCAACATTTCTAAAGAGAGAAACATTTTCCTGGAAGTTGTGGTATAACTGAAGCCCTGTTTAAGAACTTATATATAAAAATATATAGTTACATAAAAACCCAGACCTGGAAGGACCTTGAGAAAACATTCCTCAAATTCTGTCCTAAGCGCTCTGTTTGTTTATTCCCACCAACAATGGAGGTACCGTGAAAGCTGGGCTTATGAGAAATTTTGCAGTCTCGACCTCCTCACTAAAAAGAAAGAATGAAAGTAAATGGATGAGTTTCCAACTTACTAAGTTATAAAAGTGAACAAGTAACAAAGGAAAGCAGAATGAATGAGACGATAAAAATAAAGTCCTTATTCCTTCATGCCAGTTCCTTGAGATGTCAAACAGAGTAAGTCTGACATTCCCACTACTTGCTCTCTTCCTAATGGTGAGATTGTTAACAGAATAAATTAACTCAAACAGCTCAGTACAAACCTTATTTTTGTCTCACACATTTCAAATATGACTTTGATAGAAAGACAATGAGATTGTTGAAAGTTTTCACATTTCCTCAACTTTGTTACTTCAGACCCCTGACTGCATAAGATGCCTTTCCTCCATGCCTCATGCCCACCCCCAAGCCCCACTGGACTCCCACATACCCACAGCCCAACTGCCATCACCAGCACAAAATAGATGACAATGACAGAAGCGTCAGCAGCATTTTGGATGCGCTTTGACATCGCAGGGTACTCAGGGGCCCCAGTTGTGGTGCTGGGGCTTAACATGCTGGCCGTCGCTGTAGGTCGTGCTTCTTCCTCCCCAGTGGCCCCTTCCTTATATCAGCTCTGGGTTAATGATCAGCCTCATACAGGTGGGGTATGTTATCAGCACCGGTGCCTGGGACAAAGATCTTAAGCCTATTCTCTGAAGCTCATCTCTAAGACACTGGCCCTCCAGTGGTCAGTGTTGGTCTAGGCAGAGGCTGAGAATGAGGCATGAGTCCATAAATGGGGTGAGAATTTGAGCTGGAGAGTACAGGGTCACTGAGTGCAGACACAGGCCCTTTATTAAGACTTGACCAGATTGAGTGAAGATTAGAGAGAGACAAAGAGGAGAAGGACAGTGGCACATGGCCAGAAAGCATCCAGGAAGGGACCAAGGGCAATGGTCCCTTATAAAATAGATAAGATTGTTGAACCAAAAGCTATAACCCTTCAAAATGAAGTTAATTATGCATTTCATGGGTTCTAAAGACCTGGGGCTCTGGTAGCATAGTGGCTAAGGCACTTGACTGCTAACCAGAAGGCTGGCGGTTCAAACCCACCAGCCACTCCTCGGAAGGAAGGTTGGGCAATCCTACTTCCGTAGTGATACTGCCTCGGAAACCCAAGGAGGGGTCGCTATGAGTCGGGGCCGACTCGATGGCAAACAACAACAACAACAACAAAGACCTGGGGGGTTTTTTGTTTTGTTTTGTTTTGTTTTTTGTTTTGGAAGAGGTAACCTGAAATGGACTTCATATGATACATTAGGACCTGATGACCTGTGCTGGAAAGGGAAATGTCTACCAGCCAGCACAGCACAGGAGGGGTGAGGAGATGGTGGCAGGGCTGCTGGTGGCTAGACCAGAATTTTGACCTGAAAGCACGTGTGGTTATTAAGGTTATGTGTCAACTTGACTGGGCCTGGTTTTGAACAGCTGGGCAGCTGGATGTACTTATTCCCCATGATGAGACTGGTAATCAGCTCCATGGTGGAATCTACTAGAACAGCTACCTTAGGGATGTGGTGTGCTTCCTGTATATAAGGAGAAGTTTTGAAAAAAGTCTCTGCAGCTTTTTAGCACATGTGGACCTTGCATGTAGCTGAGTCTTTGTTCAGTAGCCTGCCGTGTTTCCTGCCAATCTTAGGACTGTCTCTGGACTTGAACTAGTATCTTGCCATGTTGTTTGGTAATCTTGTGACTGTGCCATTTCATTTGTCAACTTTGGGTCTCTGAGTCTCAGCAGCTACCAGCTGCCTGATCTAAGAGATGCCTCCAGCTTCACTGGACCAGGAACAAGAGGCGGAGCTGAAGTCCAAGGTCAAGGGGCTTTCACCCAACCCCTAGAGCTGGCACTTTGAACTCAGACTTCTAGACTCCTAAGCTGTAAGATAATAAATCCCTGTTTGTTCAAACAACCCATTTGTGGTCTTTTTCTGTTAGAGCAGCACTAGAGGTAACCAAAACAGCACATGTTGGAGATTCTTAGGACATGAGATTCATGTCCCTACAACCACAGGCAGAAGTTCAAGGTAAAGCCCTGATAGTCTTGGTTTGTACCCATGGCCTATTCTGAATGGTCTGGTTGTTGACAATTTGTCCTTTGAGAATGTCAAGGGGTCCAGGGTCATTCACAAGATGTCTTCTTCCTCCTGAGGTGAAGCAGAATATCATCAACCAGATGCTGAGAATTCCCAAACCACCTGCCTGGAAGAGTAGAAACTCACGTGACAAAGAAGCCAGCCAGTCTTATTATTAGGGAGAACCATCTAGTTCCAAAACAAGGTGTACAGGCTCAGTACTGACGCCCTAGAGGAGGACCCTTAACTTCCCCGAACCTTACACTTTCAACTGTAAAGTGGGAATGCACTCTCACCTGGATGGAGACCACTGACCCTAATCAATGATCTGCAATAAAAGCATCCAAAAAATTAAGGTCTGTAGTCAAAGGATCTCACAGGGAATTGGGCCTGAGGCTAATTCTTACAATGTTTCAGAGAAGGCTGCTGCTTTGAGGTGATCAACGTCTATCTCCAGATTGTACGTTTTTCCCATTAGGAGACAGAATCAAATTCTTAGATTGTCAATGAAGATCAGCACCATGAGGAAGGGTAAGTAAGTATATTCCAATTGAGTTCCATCCCAAGAGCCATGATATAGCTTCTGCAGCCACACCAAGAAAGTAAGGATTCGGATGGGAGAAACAAAATGTTAACAAAGGGCAAGACTTAGGTGGAAGTAGAGCAGGTAATTATGATGAATGCTCCATCATTCATTCATTCAAGCAAGCATTATTGAGTGTGTGGTGCAGTGCCTGAGGCATTTGACTACTAACCAGAAGGTTGGCAGTTCAAACCCACCAGCCACCCCATGGAAAGAAGACTGGACAATCTACTTCCGTAAAGATTTACCACTTCGGAAACCCAAAGGTGGTCACTATGAGTCAGAACTGACTCGATGGCAATGAGTTTTTTGTAGTTGTTGTTTGTTTTTGTTTTTGGTAAGTCACTGCAGAAGAAAGATGGAGCAATCTACTTCCTTAAAGATTTACCACCTTGGAAACCCAGTGGGGGTCCCTACTGGTAGGAATTGACTCAATGGCAGTGAGTTTGGTTTTGTTTTTTTAAGTCATTGCAGGCATGGTGAAAGCCACAATGAGTGAATCCAAAACAAGAAAATTCATAACAGACATTTTAAAAGAAGTCTTTATATCCCCCTGGGATCAAGGCTGGTCTGTGTATCTCCATTTGTGAGAAGCACTGCCACTCTCAGGCCTCTACTTCGAAGATGAAACACCCGGCACAGGGACCCCACGAAGCTCTCCTCCTCAGCTTCAATGACCTGGACAGGAAATTTATCAGTTGATCTGTTCCAGGAAAAAATCGACAGGTTTATGATGGGAAAATTTTCTTATTTTTAAAGAGAAAGGACAGAAAAGGAAGTTGGCCATGGCTACGGAGGCTAACCACCATCCATTTGTTGTCCTGTGGTGACTTTCATGTTACTGTGATATCGGAAGCTCTGCCACCAGTATTGTAAATACCAGCAATGTCACCCACAGTGGACAAGTTTCAGTGGAGCTTTCAAAATAAGACAGACTAGAAAGAAAGACAAACTCTGAAAATTAGCCAATGAAAATTCTATGGTTCACAACAGAACATTGCCCAATATAGTGCCGATATAAAGCTCCCTAAATTGGAAAAGCATTGAAAATACACCAAACCAAAACCAAACTCACTGCCGTTGAGTCAGATCCAGCTCATAGCGACACCTCCTTGGGTTTCCAAGCCAATATCACTACGGGAGTAGATAGCCCAATCTTCCTTTCGAGAAGTGGCTGGTGGTTTGAACCACCAGCCTTCTAGTTAGCAGTCAATGCCTTAGGCACTACACTACCAGAGTTCTTTCCCAGAACTCCCTCAAAATACATAATGAGCACAACAATAGTCTCAAGCGTACCAAGATCATGACGATAGTGCAGGACTGAGCAATGTTCTGTTTTGTTGTCCGTGGAGTCAGGTTCAATGGCACATGAGTTGACTCAATGGCAGCTAACAACAATAATGGAAGCTAAAACTCTCAACATCATATACAAGGATTACAAACAGTGGTGATGCACTGAAACTCCCTGAAGAAAAGACACATCAAACATAGTCTATGCTTTTTCTAGCTTGACTGAGTGGGCTTCCTTCTTGAAAATCTAGTGTGCGCAATTGACTTTATCACATTGGCTTCAAATACATGATTGAATAGCAAAATATTGTGTTGCTCTATTTTGTCCGGCTAGCCTGTAATTACATATATACACCTTTATCTGACTGGGCAAAATTTACAACTGACTTGCTTCTCTTCCAAACCACAGATTAGGACTAAAGGGAGGCACAGGAAAGAATCAGTCCACTATAAGGACGGTCTGTGACTGCACAGAAAGCTGGATGCAGGCAAGATACACATGGCAGAAGACAGCCCCAGGCAGCAGGAGGATGCCGTTGGTGCTCACGGTCGTCCACCAAAAAGGCTTCTCAGGGATGTCTGTCACCTTCTGCTTCATCGCTGACTCCTCTTCCTTGGTCATCTTGGCGTCCTTCTGCTAGTCCAGCCCACAGAACAGGTCCTAAACCTGCCTGAAACCTCTTTTCTTCTCTGCAAGAATAAAAATGAAGAATAATTATTGGCTACAGGAAGAAGAAAGAACAGGATAAGTTTCCCTAGGAACAGTCATTCGAGAAACTCTTTGCAGAAATGTTTTTGCATCCACTTTGCAGAATCTGCTCAACTTTCTTGATCAATGGAAATGATGCAAAACATTAATAGGAACTTAACTCACTGTGAGCAAATGGGATAGGTAAACCATTCACCCTCGTGGTCCGTAAGCCTAACTTTTGAATATATTGTGCCCAATGCAATTACACTTCAATATAGATCAGTCACAGAAGGCATGACACAATTTAGTGAAATAATATCAATGGGGCCTAAAATAAAACATTAAAAGCTTTTGAGAGAAAAATGAGCAATGAGCTGGGGAACTGTGACATATGAAGGATGTGGAAAACCCACCTCAAAAACGTATGAACTCAAAACACTTTGCTACGTGTTTAGAACACAATGAACCTTATGACACTAGGCACTTAATTACTCTCATGGTTTTCCCTTCTCCTCTGCACTTTGTTTATTTTAAAGTAGCCAGAGTGCTCTTTAAAATCATTCCCATCCGATATTCCTTTACTAGGGTTGCCATAACAAAGTACCACAAATTGGATGGCTTATAAAGAAAGAAATTTATTGTCACAAAGTTCTGTAAGTTAATATTCTGAATTCAAAGCATTGGTAGAGACATGTTCTCTCTGAAGGCTCTAGGGAAAGATTCTTTCTTGTCTCTCTCAGCTTCTGGTAGCTCCCAGCATTCCTTGGCTGGCCGCTGTGGCATAACTCCTTCCTCACATGGCCAGCTTCCCTCCATCTCTCTACGTCTCTTCATCTCTTTTACAGGAATACCACTCAGGTTAGACTATGACCCACCCT